TTAGGAGATGCTCTAATGCAGTTGCATTGCTGGACTCAGTTCCGCATTAGAAAGCAATGGACTGTGTTTCCTGATGTAAAATGATGAGGGTGGGGAGTCTGGTATATCAGTCAAGGTTTGATCAGGGAAACAGAACAACACTGTGAGTCTTAGGGTATAAGGGATTTATCTTAGAAATTAGACCTTACACCATTGTGGGAAGACTCAGGATAAAGAAGTTGGAGAATCAAAGTTACTAATCAGCCTTCTCCAGGCATTGGTGCTGTAAGACAAGTCGGAGATTTTAAGGAAGTCTGGACAAGCATGTCCTGCTGCCAGAGGAACGGTGAGAGGCGTTAGTGAAGAAACCCTCAGAAAGCTGTTGCCCTAGAGTGCCTCCTGAGGTCAACATGGCCTGCAGTGGGGGAGAGAGCTACTCACCAAATAAGGAAGGATGAGGCCAGGCTGAGCTCTTGCCTCTGATTTCTCACTCACTGCATCTCACTCTGTGACTTTCCAAGAGTCCTGGCTCTGCTTCTTTCCATTTTCTTGTTTGTTTGTTTGTTTGTTTGTTTGTTTTTAATATATTTTATTGATTTTTTACAGAGAGGAAGAGAGAGGGATAGAGAGTTAGAAACATTGATGAGAGAGAATCATTGATCAGCCTCCTCTTGCACAGCCCCCTCCCCAACTGGGGATGTGCCTGCAACCAAAGTACATGCCCTTGATCAAAATCAAACTTGGGACCTCTCAGTCTACAGGCCGACGCTCTACCTATTGAGCCAAACCGGTTTTGGCTTTCCATTTTATTGTTCACACACAAATATCTCCTTTGAACAAATCTAACCCAGAACCATACAGAAAAAGGGCTTCTTGGAAACAATTCCTGTTTAGCTAAGTTGACCAAAGCACCTGGTTGGTAAACATTGCTTATGTGAAAAAGCTGGTACTTTCATTTTTTCCCAAGAGCTACTATTTTATCTATTTTTAATAGTGGTGGTATTTCCACACACTGAGACATGCCATATAGAGAAGAGAGGAGACAGAAAAGCTTCCAAAATAAAGATCTTTTGCTAGTTTCAGGGTTCTAAAGCTTCAGTCAAATAGAAGTTAAGATTACTTTCAGAAAATAAGTTCTCTCCTTTCTGTTCTTTTTGATAGGAAGGGTCTTGTAATTGAAGTTTTCTCACATATATTTTACAAGCTTGGTCCATGAATATCTAATGATACTTCCCTGTTATTAGGGCAGGTGCCACAAATATTGCAGTAAATGAAATATTTTGAGGTGTGTCCTAGTAGTGTTTTATACGCATTTGCGTAATGATTTCATATGCTTATTCAGTTGTTGAAACATTTTAAATTATGTGCATTTGGGGCCAGTCTGGTTCTTAGAGTTACTAGGAAGCACAGATCAGCTCCCATTTTCCTTGTTTGTGTTAATGGCATTACTATTTTCTTAGGCAACTAGGCTAGAAAAATTTTTGTCATCTTTGACTTATTCCTGTCCATCACTTCTCATACTCAGTAAGTAATTTGTTTATAAGTCTTTGAAAGGCCCATCTTGTACTCTTCATTTTTATTGCAACAAATATAGTGAATATAATGCTTATCTGTCTGTCGGTTTCTCCTCCTTTCCTCCATCCATCCATTCATCCCTCCATGCATGCCTTGTGAATCTCATAACCTTCCTATTAAAAAAAATATTTGAAAGATCACAAAGTGGAACACTGTAAACCTGGATTAAAGGGAAACAGAATAGGCCTAAATCAATTGTTCTCACCTTTAGATCCATTAGAATCAATGGAGAACTTTTGAAAAATACTGATACTCAGAACAACTCGCAGAGATTTGGCTTCCTATGGTCTAGAGCTCCCTTGGTTATTCTAATGTGCAGGCATGTTGGGAACTGTTGGAATTGAAAATGAGCGAGTAGATATTACCAGACACTTGATATGAGCTGAATACAACCTTTGTATGACTGCAAAGGCAAAAGGGGATATATGCTCTGTTGAACACATCTCATTGTCTGACAAATATTTCCCCCTAGATTAAATTCTAAAAGTAACATAGTTATGTTCCAGTAATGCAACAATAGCTCTCCTTTACTGAATGGTTGCCATGTGCTAAGCATTATGCCAGTTTTTTAAGTCTCACCAGACACCTAGAATGTGAGCATATTATTAACCTAATATTTCAGATGAGAAAACTGGGATGTTGATAACTTAAATAAGTTTCCAGCTTTTGGATTCAGGCCGTCTAATTGCAGAACCCTGGTTCTTAACTATTTTACAGCACTGCCTCTAATGTGAATACTGGGCAATATCTCCAGTTTAACTTTTGCAAGACATAGCATGTGGTGGCCAAATGGAGATTCTTGTAAAATAAAGGTTGAAGAAAAATAATTTAACAAGGGCATTTTTTGCTAGCTATTTAGATAAGTAATAAAAGGCTGAATTCTAATCGACTGAATGGCAGAATGACTGGTTGCTATGAAGTGCACTGACTACCAGGGGGTTGATGTTCAACACAGGAGCTGCTCCCTGGTGGTCAGTGCTCTCCCACAGGGGGAGCACTGCTCAGCCAGAAACCAAGCTCACTGCTGGCAAGTGCAGCAGCAGTGGCAGGAGCTTCTACTGTTCTGCAGCAGTGCTAAGAATGTCCGACTGCTGGCTTAGGCCTGCTTACCACAGGAAATGGGCCTAAGCCATCAGTCAGACATCCCCTGAGGGCTTCCAGACTGTAAGAAGGCATAGGCCAGGCTGAGGAACCCTCCCCAAATGCACAAATTTTGTGTACTGGGCCTCTAGTTTAGATAACATTTTTCTGCTGATCATCTAACTTACAGGTAGAGACACTGGTACTTCTGGAAGAGTGTGTTGTTCTCATATCTTCTGGATTCTTTTAAGTGTTCTCATAGAAGTCTTGGGGTGGTCTGGCTTCTCCCACAGAGCACCAGCAGGGGCCTGGGGCGAGGTGGGGTAGAGCATGAGTGTAGGACAGATTGGGATGAAGCTTAGCAGGAAATGGAAAAAGGGCTAGAAAACTGGTAAGGGCATCCTGCTTGAGGTACTCGGCCTGGGCAATATGAGGAAAGTGTGTTGGGCTGAAAAGGAGGAAATTCCTGTTCTGAAGAGGAGTATAAATGGATGAAGCTGCGTGGTTTCAGAGCCAAGGTCAGAGGCATGGGTGTGCCTTTGGCTTGAGAGTGGGAGGAGGGTGGAAATATTTAAAGAGTGAAAGGTAGGTTCTGGGTCACAGGAAACTTAAGATAAAGCTCTAAAGTAGAAATACCTCATGTTGCCAAGTGAGACCCATATGGTTTTTATACCAGCCCGAGTGGTTATCATGCTTTAAATTATGCCTTGAGTCCAGTCTCATCTCATTCTAATCAATACCTTCTAAAGTTTTCAGAATAATGTGTTTAATAGACTCTTTCAGCAGGTCTCCACCCAAGAACTGTCAGAGGCTCTCTACTGCTTACTTCAAATCCAAACCATCAGTTGGGCTTAATTTTATCTTTCCACCTTGTCCATATCTTTCTGTCCCATTCATCAGGTCTGCTTACTGCTCCACAAATGATCATGGCATGGATTAAACATCAGTTCCACACACTTTAGTACTAACTTCTCAATGGGATTGTAAATTCTTTCAGGAGTTATGTCTCTTAACACTTGTTTCTCTTCTTTTCAGTACTTAGTGTTAAAAAAACGTAAATAGCCAATGCTAGTGCTTGAATCCATCATAGTTTACCCCAAGCAGTACTCAGAACAGCATCGGACTCAGTAAGATATTTAATTAGGGTTTTTGTATTGAGATAATGACCATCTCAGATTCAGAAATGTGTGTTTTGTAATGCCAACATTGATAATAATACCTCACTGTAACTTGGTGTAATGAAGTTCCAAAGGTCTGAGTATGAACACCAGCTCTGTCATGCAGTAATTGTGTGACCCTGAGCAGGGCACTGGGAGTTAGCTTCCTCATTGTAAATGACAGGCGGTTATGGGGACCTCAGAGTTGTTGTGGGACTAAGTCACACACCAAACAAAAACTGTCTAGCATGGTAAATGGTTCATTAGGCATTCAGTAAATACCTATTAAAGAAAATTAAAAATATTTTATCACTTTTTATTCTATTATATTTCTAATTATTACCTTTATTTGAACCAGAAAGATAATTTTAAATTTTCTTTAAACTTTTTTGAGGTTTGATATTTTTTGCTAGTAAAAAGTTGGTAGGCATCCCAAAAACAAAGGATATATTTTTGTTTTATTTTTTGGTAATTACCTAGATCTTAAAAAAATTAACAAAGAAAGACAAATCATTCTTTTTAAAAAAAATATATTTTATTGGTTTTTTACAGAGAGGAAGAGAGAGGGATAGAGAGTTAGAAACATCGATGAGAGAGAATCATCGATCAGTTGCCTCTTGCACACCCCCTGCTGGGGATGTGCCTGTAACCAAGGTACATGCCCTTGACCAGAATTGAACCTGGGACCTTTCAGTCCGCAGGCCAACACTCTACCACTGAGACAAACCGGTTTCGGCGACAAATCATTCTTAACTTTGAGCTGAAAATCAGGAGAGACAGAGGGGAAAAAAAAGGGAGGGGGGGGAGAGAGGAAGAAGGGAAGATAGAGAGATCCCTTAGATTGCTGATGGAAACATCTTTAACAAACCCTTGATTTAGAGCCCATGATGAAGTCCTGGTATTAGGAAAGCCTACTTAAGGAAGCCCTGCTTGTTCCAGAGTTTCACTGTGAGTCTCCATGGTAGAGCATGCTCTCTGATCAACTGGACTTTGCTGCAGGATGGGTGTGGCTGAAAGCAGACTACTGTAAATTAACCAGGAGTGAGAACATGCAGATCAAACTTTATTTCACTCAGAACCAGAACAATAAAATGGCATTCTTCTCTATTGACATTCTATCCCCATCTTCTTGTCCTCCCATTCAGGGCTGCTGACAGATTGCTGGAGCTATTGTGCCAGGCATGGAGGTTCTGCAACTGGTCAAGAGATCTAACTCTCAGATGTTGGCTCTGCTCCTGCATCCCGAGGTTGGCCCTTGAACACGCAGGGCTTTAGTTGCTTCTGTAAATATAGTAACATTCTGTTCATATGATATTATCATTCAACAAGAGAAGAGTGAAGCAACCAGTTGATAAGATGAGACCTTTACCTGACATCAGTGGTTCTTTATTGAAAGGTACAGATAATATTTGAAATGGAATAAAAACTCAGAGGCTCAAATGCACCCAATAACTTGAAGTAGCAGTGGCACATGAATCCACAAGGGACTGTAGCTGTTTAAAGCCCTGTCCTGTTTCCCTAGGCAGAACACAGCAAGGATTATGCAATGTGTGCTTCCCTGAGATTAGAAACAATTAAAGATAATCATATTGTCCTTTTTTGGTAAAAATTAGCGCTCTTCAATGTTGTAGCAAAAAGATGACTTGATAAAATGTGGCTAGAGAGGCATTTCCTCATAAAATTTCTGAATAAATTTTGCACACATCTTATGATATTTCCTGGTCAATTATAAAAAAAAATTTCCTTCTATGTCCCTACTCCTGCTTCCATTGTTATTATTAAACTCAGAACCGCTCAAAACTAAGGATTGCTCACTCTAATAGACAAATAGAAACTCCTATTTCAAAGCCTTGTTGCAAAGAGTAGTTGAGTTAATAGAAATTAATGACTTCTGAGAAACACTCTGACTCAGAAAGAGAATTATTAGAATAACTTTGTGAAGTGGGAGTAACTATTTGATATAACTAACATGTTTTGGAAACAGAAAGTCATTAGTTTACTTCCCTTTGTCCTCCCTTTGGCCAGTCTGTCTTTCTTGTTGTCCCTTTTTGACCTCTGGTAGCTTTTGTTATTATTTTTGCCCTATTAAGAAGTACAGCATTCAGTCTCTTGATTTTCCTTATTTTCACTTGTGTTTAAGGACCAGATGCCATAGTTTATTCAGAATGGCAAGAATCTTTGTATGGAAGTCAATGACAACCATTCTAAGATACATATTTGCTATTAGAAAAGCAATCTGCAGTAGGCCACAAGGCACATTTGTCCATTTTCTTGCTAGTTAAGAAAACCCATAAGGAAGATTCAGAAAGGATTTATAATCCTGCACAAAGGTTTGTGTTGTCCATAGAAATTGATGGTGTCCACATTGGCAGTCTTATGATTTCTCTCTAGGTTGTTTTGAAGCGACAAACAAGTACATATCAATAATAACTTTAAATATAAATGGATTAAATGCCCCAATCAAAAGACAGGATAAAGGATTGGCTAAGAAAACATGACCCATATATCTGCTGTCTACAAGCAACCTACATAAAAAAAAAAGGACACACACAGACTGAGGGTGAAGGGATGGAAAAAGGGTTTTCAGGTGAATGGAAATGAAACAAAGCAAAACACTGGGGTAGCAATACTTATATCTGAAAAATTATTTCTCGAAGTGAAGGGCACAAAAAGAGATAAGGAAGGCCACCTCATAATACTAAAGAGAGCAATCCAACTCTGGTAAAGATATATGCACTAATACAGGAGCACCCAAATATATATATAAAAAAATCCTAGAGAATATCAAGGGAGAGATTGACAGCAATACACTCATAATAGGAGACTTTAATACCCCGCTATCACCACTGGACAAATCCTGTAAACAAAGAAACATCAAAGAAACATTATATTAAGAGAAATACACCGGTCATTATATTAAGTGAAATAAACTAGTCAATGAAAGAAAAATACCACATGATCTCACTCATTTATGGAAAATAAAGAACATTATAACCTGAAGAACAAAAAGATAGATACAGTAGCAGTAAAGCACCGAAAAGACTGTCAAATTTCAGAGGGAAAGCTGTGGAGTGTTGGGAAGGGAGGGGGGGGGGAGATCAACCAAAGGACTTTTATGCATGCATATATGCACAACCAATGGACAGAAGACACTGAGCAGGTGGGATGAGGGCATAATACACGGGGTAGGGGAGGCTGGAGGAAGGCCAAAGGGGGAAAAATAAAATAAATAAATTAATTAATTAAGGAAAACAAAACAAAACAAAACGAGAAGCTCCTGAAGGTTGGGACACTGACAATGGGGGAGAAGTGATTAAGGGGACTGATTATTGTTTTCCTTTCTAGACATAAAAAAGAGAGGTCAGCACAGAAATGTGATTCTCTCCATTCTAAAAAGATACTCCCCTAATTCATTTAAATAGTGGTTCATTTTCAAACCCCAAATAGGACTTTGTAGAATGAGCTAAATTTACCCAAGTTCACTAATTAGAATCATACCTTTCCTGGTGATTGACATTTGACAGTAGTTTCAATTTTATTCTCCCAAAGTACCTCATAAACATCAGCAGTGCATCTTAGAGTTTTCTATTCGTGAAAACAAAAGCCAAAAGAGAGAACAGTGTTATTCATGAAATACTTAAACAAGTGTAAAATATCAAGTAGATTTCTAGGGAATAAGTAGAGTTGCATGACTACTCACCCCAAGTTTATTGGTCTCACAACTTTCCGTCAACTCTTTAGTACTTTCCTTGGAACATGTGGTCTCCCTGGCCGTGAACTCAATAAAATATTTTGTCCCAGCTACCAACTGAAAAATTAATTAGCACAAAGTAGAGCCTTAATTAACATTATATAATAAATGATATGTTTTTACCCTAAGGTATCTTAGGGGAGAATATTAAAATTTTAATTATACATTGCTCAAATGAGAGGTATTCATATAAAAGTATAAATGTTTGACAGCTAAACTGTTTGTATGCATGTATAAAATATTTGGCTGTTGTTTGGTCTTGTTTCCTTTTCTATAAAAGGAAACAAGGCTACAGTTTTTATTTATTTATTTTTAGTCTATGATTTTTTTTTATTCTATGATTTTTTTCTTTTTAAAATTAAAAAATATATATTTTATTAATTTTTTACAGAGAGGAAGAGAGAGGGGCAGAGAGTTAGAAACATCGATGAGAGAGAATCATCGATCATCTGCCTCTTGCACACCCCCCATTGGGGAGGGGGGAAAAAGATACATTAATAAGAGCATTATTAAGAAAGGATGAGAGCGTCGGCCTGTGGACTGAGGGGTCCCAGGTTCGATTCCAGTCAAGGGCATGTACAGTGGTTGCGGGCACATCCCCGGTAGGGGGTGTGCAAGAGGCAGCTGATGGATGATTCTCTCCCATTGATGTTTCTAATTCTCTACCACTCTCTCTTCCTCTCTGTGAAAAATCAATAAAAAAAAATATATATTTTTTAAAAAAAAGAAAGGATGTGCCCGCAACTAAGGTACATGTCCCTGACCGGAATCAAACCCGTAACCTTTCAGTCCTCAGGCCGACGTACTTTTTTTATTTTTTATTTTTTTACAGAGAGGAAGGGAACATTGAGTCAGAAACATCGATGAGAGAGAAACATTGACCAGCTGCTTCTTGCACACCCCCTACTGGGGATGTGCCCGCAACCAAGGTACTTGCCCTTGACTGAAATTGAACCCAGGACCCTTCGTCAGCATGCAGATGTTCTATCCATTGAGCCAAATTGGTTTCGGCTACAGTTTTTATTTTTAAACTTTTCTGAGTTTTATTATTCAACAACATTCAAGCGCTCAAGTTGTTATAGAATCTAAGAAGAGTAGGAAGAAAAACTTAAATGTTTTCTTTAAGTATGCTGTATTGTCATGCCAAGTTTTGAATCAGAGAAATACTGAGTTGGTGTCACTACAGAAATTGTGGGTTAAATTCTTGATTAGAAAAATTCTTAGGATTTTTTTACTTTGCCTCTCTTAATTTTTTTATATTAAAAAATAATTTTAGCCGAAACTGGTTTGGCTCAGTGGATAGAGCGTCAGCCTGCAGACTGAAAGGGCCCAGGTTTGATGCCGGTCAAGGGCATGTACCTTGGTTGCGGGCACATCCCCAGTAGAGGATGTGCAAGAGGCAGCTGATCGATGTTTTTCTCTCATTGATGTTTCTAACTCTCTATCCCTCTCTCTTCCTCTCTGTAAAAAATCAATAAAATATATTAAAAAAAACAATTTTAATTTCTACCAATTTTTTTTTTAAATGGATCTTTAGAGAAAAAGGAAGAAAGAGGGAGAGTCAGAAACATCGATCAGCTGCCTCCTGCACTCCCACTACCCCCACTGGAGATGTGCCTGCATCCAAGGCACATGCCCCTGACTGGAATCGAACCCGGGATCCTTCAGTCTGCAGGCTCATGCTCTATCCACTGAGCCAAACCGGTTTTGGCACACATATGACTTTTTAAATGTAATTTTAAAATGCCATATCTTACATCTCTTACACTTAAAAATATACTTGGTAAAAATGACTTTAAATTGTATGTTAAAAAGTTAGTTGATATGGCCAAATTTCTAATCCAAGCTATCTAGTACTTATTTTTTTTTCAAGTTATTCAGTATTTAATTCTAGGATCTAAATGTGTGTGTGTGTGTCTATGTGTGTGTAAAAGAATACATGAATATATCAGTTGACCTAGAGAGATGACTATTATTTTTAACAATGAAGTTATAGCCCTGGTTGGTGTGGCTTAGTTCGTTGAGTGTCATCTCATGCAGCTAAGGGTCCTGAGTTTGATTCTCAGTCAGGGCACATGCCATCATTGCTGATTTAATCCCCAGGTAAGGGGGCGGGGACATGCAAGAGAATGAGGATTGATGGTTCTCTTTCCTTCTTCCTTCTTCTCTCTCTAAAATCAATAAAAGCGTATTAAGAAGTAAATAAGTGGCCGAGACCGGTTTGGCTCAATGGATAGAGCGTCGGCTTGGGGACTGAAGGGACCCGGGTTCGATTCCGGTCAAGGGCATGTACCTTGGTTGCGGGCATATCCCCAGTAGGGGGTGTGCAAGAGGCAGCTGATCGATGACTCTCTCTCATCGATGTTTCTAGCTTTCTATCTCTCTCCCTTCCTCTTTGTACAAAATCAATATAATATATTTTTTTAAAAAAAGAAGTAAATAAATGAAGTTATGGTGATAGTAGAATCTCATTTTAAAAAGCAAACCACAATAGTCTTCCCTATCCCTGAGTTTATTTTAAAAGTATGGAAAAAGGTGTGGTGGGAGGAAGAGAGCAGGAGAACAGAGTTATAGGAAGAACTAAGCTCCCTTTCTACTTAAAAAAAAAAAAAAGCTATGTATTTTATTGATTTTTTACAGAGAGGAAGGGAAAGGGAGAGAGAGTTAGAAATGTCAATGAGAAAGAAACATCAATCAGCTGCCTCCTGCACACTCCCTACTGGGTGTGTGTCGCAACCAAGGCACATGGCCTTGATTGGACTCGAACTCGGGACCCTTCAGTTCGAGGGTCAACACACCATCCATTAAGCCAAAACGGTCAGAACCTATCCCTCTACTTTTCCTGGCATTGTTCTGCTGGGTAAACATGGTTAAATTTTTAAGAAAAATTTGATCCTTAACTTTTAAGACTCTAGGTATAGGTGTAAATGGGGAGGAAGGTTCTAAAAGGGTTTTAGGGTCTATATTTTGGCGATCATAAGTTTTCTTGCTCATTTCAGAATATATCTTAATCCAATTTTCTGTTGATCACAGTAACATTGCCTAAGAAACTTGACAGTGTGTGACACAAACCACAACTGATAGCTCTACTCTATTCAGGGTCAAGAAGAAGGAATTAAATAGATGTAAATCTCCCATATGAGGGCTTCAAGATCACATCTATATTGCCATTATTATCAGGTGTCATTCTTATCAAAAGTCTTCCCTGCTCAAATCCATCCTGCTCAATCTTTGTTTTTAAAACAGAGATAACTACATAGCAAAATAAATTCCAAATGTATTAACAATTTAAATGAAAGAAACTCAAAAGATATAAATATGTATCCATGAGGTCTCAGGATGAAGAAGTCCTTTCTTAGGTGAAAAGCAAAGGAAGAAAAACTAAATGGAAAAAAAATGTCAATTTGTTCAGACAGAAAGAACAACTGATTCTCAAAAATCACAGCAAGCAAAGTTAAAAAAAAATCTGGGGAAAATAAGGTATAAGATTAATATTCTTATGCATGTAAAGCCCAACACGAAAAATAAACAAACACATGAACAAATATTTCAGAAAATAAGTTAAAATAGTCATTAAGCCAGAAACAAACTGCTACCTGCATTAATAACTAAAGATTAAAAACAACAACAAAAACAACAACAACAACAACAACACAGCAGCATCTTTTATCTTCTATATTTTGGCAAAGATAAAAAACAGTGGTGATACCTGGTATTGGCTGCGTGTGGGAAGCACGCAGCCTCAGACACTGTTGGTAGGAATAGAATTCAAAGTAAGATGATCAAGGTCCTATAGTCAGGTGGTATGAATGTAAATTGTCATAATTACTAATAGCTTGGCAATTTGGCTATTTGCATGAGAAGTTTTAGACATATACACATGCCTTGACATTTCTAGTACTTTGTTAAAGGAAAAATTCCTGAATGTGCACACACAGATCCTTAAAGTATATTCATCTGAGCAAAGACAGGGAGGAATATGGACAACAGTGGGGACAGTGGCGGCAGAGGCAGGGCAAAAGACATCGTCTATGACAGAAATCACATCATTCACATGTGCAAACGGAGAATTTAATAAATATTTGGCATCTGAAACCAGATGAAAATGGGCATGCATCCAAAATAGGACTAAATAGGCAAAGCCAAGGCAAGGCCAAATCTGAAAAATAAATTTTTGGCAAAAATTGGTCATTTGGCAAAATCATCAAATGGTAAATGGATTTCCAGTAATTCGGCTGCTTCCAGCAGGCCTCCTTGAATAATCATGTCAGAACAGCCAAATTGTTTTCTTTAAATGTAAAAGCCAGTAAAGATTCATCTTCTGTAAGTAAGTCTGAGATTCTTACCACATTTCAAATTGACTTGGCAAGTGAAGGAATGTCAGTTCTCTTCAATTTACAGCATTACCTATTCCCCTGGTATCCTTGTCATAAACAAATACACACCATTCTAGGATGTTGATTTATTACTTTACTAAGAACTGTAAGTACTATGAAGACTAGATAGTCATGTAATAAAATAAGTGGTTCTCTTCTGACAGCAAACTTTTGATATTCAATACATGGTGGAGTAGAGGGTATTCCTGCATCAAGAATAAAGAGTTTTCACAAGAAAGCAGAAATATTAAGAAGAAAAGCTGACAAACACAAGAATAGCATTGGGGGTGTGGGTGGTTAAGAGAGCAACCAAAGGACTTGTATATATGCCTATAAGGCATATATGGACACAGACATTGGGGGTGGTGGTGAAGGCATGTGCTGGGGGTGGGAAAGACCAGGAAGAAATCAATGGCTAAAAAAGGAGACATATATAATACTTTAAGAATTAAATAATTTTTAAAAAACGGATATATGCATCCCCATGTTTATAGCATCATAATTTATAAAAGCTAAGATTTAGAATCAGCCTACCGGCTCATCAGCAGATAAGTGGATTAAAAAATTGTGGTACATCGACACAATGGAATATTATGCTGCTATAAAAAAGATCGAACTCTTACCATTTGCAACAGCATGGATCAGTGATTCTCAACTTTCCTAATGCCACGACCCTTTAATACAATTCCTCATGTTGTGTCCTTAGGGGACCCCTGTGAAAGGGGTCAAGACCCACACATTGAGAACTGCAGCAGGGTCGCCTAAGACCATCAGAAAACACAGATATTTACATTATGATTTATAACAGTAGCAAAATTACAGTTAGGAAGTAGCAACAAAAATAATTAGGTGGTTGGGGGTCATGACAACATGAGGAACTGTATTAAAGGGTCGCAGCCTTAGGAAGGTTGAGAACCACTGCCCTAGAGGGTACATTTGTGGGCTGGAATGACACCTACGCAGTTGGGAAGTGACATGAAGGTGAGAATGTGAAGAAAGTCTGGGGGATGACAGACTGACATGTGCCTGATCCCAAGGCACTAAGTGATGCTACAATAAGAAACAACTCTAGGAAGGCAGGGAATAAGAGCAAATTTTCCTTGCCTACATTTGATTAATTACATAATTGTTGCTAGAGTATATATAACAAGTTAAAGTTCGAGAAGATAATCTATTGACATATATTATCTCCCTTTTTGTGTTCCATTTATTTATGCATTCACTAGTTGCTTCTTGTATGTGTCCTGACTAGGGATCAAACCTGCAATCTTGGGATATTGGGACAACGCCTCTAACCAACTGAGCTACCCGGCCAAGGTTTGACATACATGATCTTATTTGAGCCTTACCCCAGTGTTTTACAGACAGAAAATGGAATGTTCTAAATGACTTGTCCAAGATCACTTAGGAAGCATGTAGTGAGGTTGAGACTTGACATTCAATTCCTTTTACCAGGTATACTATTTCCCAGCCCAAGACCAGTGGTGATATTAGTAAGCAGTTTGCACATAGACTATATTGTCACTGTTTTTGTAGCTTAATTTACAGACCTGTGATGTTGCTCTGTGCACAATGTCAATCTTGAAATAGAAAGTTGCATTATTCTCTGCATTAAGCTTTGTAATGGAATGAGAAAGAGCCCCCTTCAGATCTGGGTGGTCGACTGGTATCTCTTTGGGGCAGCCACGGCAATTTAAATTAGGTGAAAATAGAAAATCCTTTTCTGAAAAAAGAAGCAGGTTTTAAGTCAGTGTGTGCACTGAAGGAGCAGTCTAGCCTAGTGCCTCTCCTGCACATTGTCCAGCACTCATTTGTAGAGGGTCATGTGCAGCCTAAAGGCCAGTAGTGAGCGGGTAGAGGTTGTCTGTATGACCTTCACTTTACTGCCTGTCCTCTTTTCCTTTCCTCAGAGTCAAGGGTATTTAGGGAAACCTTCCATAAGAAGGTGTTAGCTAGCACACCTTCAATATCAATGAGCTGCACTACTGTTCCTAAGTTTTTGCATTTTTGAAAGAAAGTGTAAAAAAGCAACACTTAATTTAAAGGAATGATTCTCTGGTGGGAAAATTTTAAGTCCTCTGATTCTGGTGAGCAGGGAGCTTCAATGATGCTTCTCACTGTGGAATGTATGCAAACATCTTCCAAGTATGAGAAAAGCCAACTCTTGGTATAAGAAACACTGGCTTGACCATAAATTTGCACTATTCCACTTTCCCCTCAATATAATATGCAGGAGGAAAAAAAATTTAATTGAAAGGATTTTATTCTGAGTGATTAAATAGAAGATACAGCTTCCCCAATTTATAACACCTGATGTAGTGACATCTGATTCACCAGAAAGACCAGCTGACATTGCAGCTGGAAGTCAGCTTTGCTCAAAGAACATCAATCTTTCCTTCTGTCACCATATTCCCTCTGGCCACTGGCAGAGCAGTCCCAAGTGCATCAGCTACATCACAGCTGTGTAGAAATGGGGTGAAGCTGTAAGGGTTGTTTATTATATCATGAGACCAAATCACAATTCCTATAAAAAGACCTCATCAGTTGTCCGGGTTCAGCATGTACTAATATAGGACAAACATGTATTATCACATACCTGATAAAACCTCACACTTCTGTGAGAAGGAAGCAATTCTTAGCCGAGGATCCATGTATGCAAGATCTGTACATTCACCAGTATCCTAGTTTTAAAAAAGTAAATAAGTTAAAATGTTTTTAAGGACTTTTAAAATAAACAACTAATAACACTAAATATAGGATGTTGACATTACATAGAAAACAAAACAGCCGAACCCAGTTTGGCTCAGTGGCTAGAGCATCATCAGTCTGCAGACTGAAAGGTTCCAGGTTCGATTCCGGTCAAAGGCATGTACCTTAGTTGTGGGCACACCCCCAATAGGGGGTGTGCAAGAGACAGCTGATAGATGTTTCTTTCTCATCGATGTTTCTAACTCTCTATCCCTCTCTCTTCCACATCCTCCCCAATGCTAGTTATTTTCCAATTTAAAAAAATTATAGCTATCTTTTAGGTGTGAAATGGCATCTCATTGTAACTTGTTTTGCCTCGCCCCCCCCTGCCCCCCGCGTAGCTAATTATGTTGAGCATCTTTTCATGTTTAATGACTGTTTGCATATCTTATTTAGAGAAATGTTTATTTTAAAATCCTTTGCCCATTTGAAAATTAGGTTGTCTTTTTGTTGTTGCATTATAAGAGTTATTTATATATTGCATATTTAATTCTTATCTGATATATGATGCAAATAATTTCTCCCATTTTCTGGGTTGTCTTTTTACTCTCTTAATGGTATCCTTTTAACTTTTCTTTTAATTATGAAATAAATACATGCTTGATTAGAAACAGTGGCAAGTATTAAAGAGTACAAAAAGGATAAAGAATCAAAAAAGGCACCCATAGTTCCAATGAAAAGTTAACTATGTTTTATATTTTTGCATATTTTTTCATCACATAAAATTTTTTGTGAGTTTATTTGGGGCAAACTAACAACATATGTCAGGGAGCAAGATTTCAAATGCTCCCCTCCATCACTCTTTTTGTTGTTGTTAATCCTCACCTGAAGATATTTTTCCATTGACTTTAGAGAGAGTGGAAGAGAGAGGGAAAGACAGAGAGAAACATCCATGTAAGAGAAACACATTAATTGGTTGCCTCTGGGATGTGCCCTGAACAGGGGCTCTGCTGAGTCATGTGAGGAGCTTGCAACCCAGCTACGTGCCCTTGACCATGCAGTCAGATGCTCTATCCACTGAACCAAACTAGCCAGGGCTCCTCCATCACTTTTGATATTTACATATACTTTATATATTTAAATGAATATGCACCTGTAATTTTATATATTTTTTACTTACCATATTATAACCATTTTACTAAGTCACTAAAAAATCTGTAAACATACTTTTAATGGCTGCATATATTTGACTGTATGGATATACATAGTACATAATAATAATGCTGAAATTATTATCTTACTGTCTGGGTAATTCTTCCTCTGTAGCTAAGTATTCCCAGACCTGTATATGCTGGACACCAAATGTTAATAACTTAATTCAATTTTAGCCTACTTACACCATTGGGAAGAGCCTTGCACTCTGGGGTTAAGACTTTAAAATTCTCCTTGGAACAATTAGTTTGCTCAATTAAGTAAGTAACTTCATAGTTCCATCCAGACACCATCTGAAACAAAGTTGAATTGAATAGTTAAAGGGCAGTTTAAACACTGTGTTATGAGGAATTTAGAATACTGCCTGGCATATTGCAAGTACTCAAACATAGAAACTATTATTACTAGGCAAAAGTCATGACTGAATAAATATTGAGCACTTTATGACTCTCACACTCCTCAACACACACACACACACACACACACACACACACACACACACACACTCCTACACATCTAAAAATAAAAAGTAATATATATTTTCTTAAGAAAAACCTAGCGACATTTCCTCTGCCAGACAACAGAAAAATAATGTCCTTTTGAATTTTGTGAAATATTAATAATACTCTTTTAGAAGCTTAAAAACACTTTGGAGCTAGAATGGCCTTTACTGATAAGTTCTCAGGCTCCCATACAGTCAGACAGTAAGTTTTGTGCTGCTTTTTTTTGGGCTATTCCCACCCCAATAGCTATGAACATAATTGAGTAGAACATGCTCTAGCATGAAGGGAAGTTGATGGTCTATTAAAAATAGTGAATATTACAGACTAAAGTAAATCCCTTATAATTAGACACTGAAATTCACTAAGTCAGTAAAGACTTAGTGAACTGGGTCAATGGAAAGGCCAGATTTCCAAGTATTTGTTTCCTTTTAATGATATAAAAACTGTAATTTAGGGGGTGCTCAGAAAGCCATACCAACTGTTTGGGTTTCACTTAATATTTTGGAGCCATGTTTGACTCATGATAGCTAGGTGGGAATACAATTTTCTTAAAATATTAAGGCTAGAATGATTTTTTCATCTCACCATCTCTTAAGAAAAACATGTATTTCTGACTACCTACTCATTAAAACCCACCTCAGAGCCAAGGGTATGATTAGCCACACTTTTTCCCTTTATATATTGCAGTATCCGAATCACTTTGACTCAAGAGAAAGCTCTTTACCTCCTATGCCAGTCAGATGAGAACAAAAAGAGCTGCTTCACCACCGGTCATGGAATCATAGGTTTCCTATTGACCAATAGTTTATTTTAGGCAATGAAACCCTAAACATAAAGATCCAACAAATTTTAACAATATTGTGAGAAATGAAAACTGAAGCACAAACCTGTCTCTGTGCCCTTTTGACTTCTTTCACAGCAAAGAGGTGGGAATGATTATTGTGGTTGTTAAAATGTTGAATGGCATGTCTCAGAACAGGGTCCAAGTCATGGGGGACTGTTATTATGGGGTGCACGCAGCCATGGCATTCATACTCGGAGGTCACCACAGGGCCCTTGGCTTGACAGAGAAAGAGTAGTCAAAAGGGCAGCGTTAATGAGCAAAACCCACATTCAGATACATTGTCTTAAATAAGTAAGATAATTTTCTAGACCCTGATAAACAAACTTTCTAGTAAATTCTAGCATGTATTAGAAAAAGGGAATACAGGTCTGCTTTTTTGTCAGAGGGAAAAACACCTATAAACATCTTATGTGCATACTATTGTGCATAATTATTTTAAATTTATTTAATAATCATTGTAAATTATAGACATTATACATTAATCTATCGTGTAATAAAAAAGTAAAATGCTACAGAAATAGTATTATTTATTTTTCAGTGTTAATTAAAGCTCCTTGACGCCTCATTCAGGATATAATATGTTTTGTAACAATTAATTTCAACAACCACGTACATATTTTGCTCCTGCTATAATATGTGAGGTGCTGAGCTAGACTGTGTGATTACGTTAACTTGTTAGTAATGGTCCCTGTGGTGTGTTGGGGAGCACACGAGACTTGGTTGGAAAGTTGTAAGGAGGACATTCTGATAAAAGGGAAGTGTGTGAAAGGCCGCCTGCCCTGTTAATCAGGATTCCAACTTAGGGGGGGGATGGGATGTAGGGTAATGTCAAAGGCAGTGAAACCTAATTATGCCTTGACCTTTCCAAACAAGTCCGATTACATACAGACCCCAGGTGTTTACTGGAATCCTTATGCTTAATCCCTGGATGCTCTTGCCTAGAGGATAATGTAAGCACATGTGTCCTCCCAAGATTACTCACCCTACTGATTGTATCTAAAGATAAAAATTCCAATAAAAGCCTAAAGAGGCAGGCAATCCAGGCTGCTCTTGCTGCTAGAGCCAGGAGCCCCTTAGCCCTCTTTCACAGTCAAACTGTGTCTGACTAATCAGTTCAGTCCTCTTTCGAGGGCTGCTGGTCAGCCCTGGAGTGGTGAAGGTGTTGGGCAAAGTTGAATGGGAGAGACAGAACTGCAGATAGATATCTATAATAATAAAAGTGTAATATGCTAATTAGACCAGACATCCTTCCAGATGACCTTCTGGATGAAGCAAGGTTTGTGAGGCATCTCTGGTCCCGGGTGCCAGAGGGAAGCCCGTGCCATCAGCCAGGGTAAGGAAGGCCTACTCTTCAACAAATTTGGTGCATCGGATCTCTAGTTTCAAAATAATTCAGCAAGAGCTTGGAAAGGCAGGAGCCCAGAATGAGCTCTAGAAAGACTTTCCTGAGGAGAAAATGCCTGAGCTAAGAAGGTTGTAAAGCGGTCAAAGGCAACATAAAGTGTGAGCCTGAGAAGAAGAAGCAAAGGGAGAAATGGCTCTCAAGAAAGCAGGATGAGTCAGGGCAGAGTGTGGGATGCAGTGTATACGTTAATAAGGATGGGGTGCCACTGACGGGGTGTTAATAAAATAATGTTAAATATTGAAACAGGAGCGAGCTTGGATTAAGTTACCAAGTCATGTTTCTAACAGATAGCCTTAGCCTGCTGGTCAGTAGAGGCACATGCTGTAGAGGGGAAGTCATGAAGGCTTCCTGGGCCCGTTTGCCTTGGGCTCTGACTGACTGAGTGTGTAGGACCCAAACAGAAGCAGGAGGCCAACAGTGTTCTATAGCAGTGTCCCTCAGTTACAAGTAGGTCAACACAACTCCCCTTGCAGCTGTTTCTTGGCACTCACTCACTCCATAAGCATGTGTATCAAGAAAAGATTTGCCGGTGTCTATTCATAGCTTTCCACACTGTTCTCCCCTTGCAGAAGGTATGTGGTATCAGGGGAGTGGACAAAGTTAACCAACTGGAGGGGACTTACATGGGAAAGGAGAGAGAATTACTGATGGGAGGACAAAAGATTGATGAACACAGAAGGGGGAGGGGGAGGGGAGTAGAGACCAGACTCTGGTTTGCTGAACTTAGGGCAGCTCTGACTGGGGTAAGAGGAGAGATGGAACAGTCTTTTGATGGTGAGAGGAGTAGGGAAAGATGCAAATTCAGTGTTTCTAGGAGATGGGATGATTTTTTTCATCCTGCTCCAACACTTCTAGGGAGATTTAAAAAAGAAATTAAAAAAGATTTAAAATTTTGAATTCTGAAACATATTTGGCCAAAAAAATGTTTCAGATAAGGAAATAATGGACCTACTAGTAATTCTGGCAAAGAGCTTTTTCTCTCATAATATACTGTGTAAGTGCTGTGTGCTGGATCATGTGAAAATTTGCTTATGAGTTAAAGTGCTTAAATTAAATAATAAAAAGCTAATCCAATTTAAAAAAAAATTATTGTGATTTCTTTTCTGTTTTGAACTGTTTTTTGTTTTTTTTTTTTTTGAATGCCACATCTTGCAAAAGCTGAAACTCAAGAAACAGAGTTTCTTGAGTTTGACTAAGTTTTTATGGATGACTAAGGCCAAGATAGAACAATTGGTCTTCCACTGATGTTCATGAGCATGGTTGAAGATGCTGTTCTGGAGCTTCTTAGACTAAAACCCTATTTGGAAAAAGGCCAGTTCTGATTTGGCTTTTGAGATTGACATTCCCTAGATGTGCCCATTCTTCTGCACCCAGCCACTGTGCCACCACCGGGAAGGAGCTAATAGTGGTATATCTCTCTGCATAAGTTGTGCCATTCTTACAAGGTCTACTATACCACTCTACTAATTGGGAACTGTGGGATACTGAGCAAGATACTTAACTGTGGTGAGCTTGGGTTTCCTCATTTGTAAATGAGAACATTAATACTTACCTGATAGAATAGCTGTGAGGATTATATAAATCAACATATGTAATATGATTATCACTGTGGCTATCAGTAAGTGCTCAATAAATGTCAGCTATGGTTACTTTTATTCTGATGATCATCAATACATTCTTATGTGTGTAACTTCAAGCCTGCCATCTAGTTTCAGTCTACAACAACCCTCTGCAGTGAGAATGACTGTGATTCCATTTTCAGGAAAAGGGAAATAAAAAAAGGTTGAAGGATTGCAGGCCAAGTCTGACCTCAAATCCTGTGCTTTTCTGGCTCTAGGACACCCCTGTAATGTGGCATGTTTTCTAGTCCTTTCCCAGGGCCTTTGCACACCCCTAATTGAGCGCTGCTGTCCAGGGAGAATCCAGGGGATGATTGGCAGGAGCCTGGCATCACCTCAGTACTCTGTCACCACAGACCCCAACCCCCACCAAGGCTGCAAATGGCCTTGTGCAGCCACCCACTGCCCTCTGGGAAGGGCCTTTGTCCAGTTTATGCTCCTAGGCAGCGCTTCCCCGTATATCAGCTACCTGGAGTAACGTGGCAGGTCTGGGTTGTCACGGAGAAATCCCTATCCCGATGCCTCTTCCCTATGGTGGCCGTGCATTCTCCTGTGGCCTAAAAGAAAGAAAAAGGAAACATTTATCTTAATCTTTCAGATGGAGAAGTGCACCTAGTGCTGTTGCTAAGTACGGCTTTTCACTTGTTTAAAACTTAAGATTCTTGCTGAAACCGGTTTGGCTCAATGGATAGAGCGTCGGTTTTTGGATTGAAAGGTCCTGGGTTGGATTCCAGTCAAGGGCATGTACCTGGGTTGCGGGCACATCCTCAGTGGGGGGTGTGCAAGAGGCAGCTAATCGATGATTCTCTCTCATCGATGTTTCTAACTCTCTACCCCTAACCCTCTCTTTTCCTCTCTGTAAAAAATCAATAATATATATATATATATATATATATATATATATATATATATATACAAAAAACTTAAGATTCTTTTCTAACGGAGTTTTGAGACACAAGAATGAATGTTTTTTTTATAGCCTAATCATTATTATTTATAAGTCATTGATATTCATGAGATGTCGGGAGGAGTGGCAGTGTAGATAGTGATGTTTAAAATAATGTTATGTTTGGAGCACAGAAGATATTTTTTTTTCACCAAGGTGAACACAGTGCCCTAAAACTAGCCTGCCAGCCTCTCCTCTTATGGTTCATCTTCAGGGTTCAACTGCACAGAGGATGTGGAGTTTTTGATACCATGGTAATACCCAGTTATTCACTGAAAAGGAGCAAAGGGAAGGCCAAATAGACACAGGCCCAGAAAAGTCTGGGTGAGGTAGGGAAGGTTCTTCTCTGTCACTCACACCTGGGAACATAGTTGGTTTGGCCATTGCAAGCACGGGAAGATTTCAGATATTAAACTCCTAAACAAAGTTCTCTCTCTTGCCTCTCTTGCTCACTGGGGCTCCTGGCTCTTTTGTTGCAGGGGACACACTCCTCTGCATGCTCCCACAGCCATATGTTACTCCCCCACAAACACAATGGACTAATGGATGGGAACTAGATTGATGCTGTGCTGAAGCATCCATCTTATATAAAAACTGCTTTTTGAAATTTTAACTCTGATATTTGGCTTCTGTAAATTCTTGCTTGCTAAGACTACTCCCACTTCAGAGAGTCCATTAAACAAACCTTCCCCAGTCAGGGTTATCAGTGCTGGCGCCAGGGCAGGCCATTGGTTGAGGTCTCAAGGCCAGCACATAAATGCTCTTTAAGAACTTGTAAAATGGGCAGGAAACACCCATATTTGGGAAACAAAGATGGTAAAAACATATAAATAGGGAAAATTTCTACATGTTGGGCCCTAGAATTTGGGAGACATTTTCTTCTGGACTCACATGAAATAAATGTAACTCCATCTCTCTAAGTATTGCTTTGTTCTTCTTCGGTTTTCTGTAACAATTGCTGGACCCAGCTCCACCATGGGATGGAAACTTGGGACATTAGTTGGGCTTTTGACTCTCTGAATCCCCAGCTGCACCTCTTTTAGGACTGGTTTAAGGGAAATGGCACTTTAGAAATGCAGATATGTAATTCCACACAAATAAAAGAGATCTAAAATAAAGATCTCTCATCTTCCTGTGTGAGTCTTAGAAAATTCCTTTTCCCCAAGATATCTTGAGGATCATATCCCCAACATCCCTTGGGGAAAGGGATCCCCCACCTCTTACCAGTGGACATCCCATTTCCACCAATAACATTTTGACACATTAAAAAGGTGAGTACATGGACTATGAAAAGAGTAGAAACTGACTGTTCACTCCTTCAGGAAAGGCCAAACAACCAGCTATGGTTTGGCAAACAGATGTTAGGCATTTGGTTAAGATACCTTGTTATTAAAACAAGATCTTTTCATATGTATGTCCTTTCATCTTCCAATTTAGGTAAACTTTACCACCCTCTTACAAGGGAGCCCATGGGTTAAAAGTGGTCAGCTAATTAAAGGCAGAGTAGAATTCCAACTCAGGTCTGCACAAAACACCCCGTTGGTCATAGGAGTCCCCTCTTCATGGGAGGGCTTTCTTCACATCTCATGGCTGGCCTCTCATGCCCTCTCTGTCTATGCAAGAATATAGACATCAACCATTTGACTTTTCTACACACTTGAGAGTTTATGTGCACAAACAATAAACAGTACTCATCACCCCCAGCACTAACAGAATAATTTGGCAGTCTCCATTGAGAAAACTGGAAGCTCCGGACCATCACACTTACAGCCTGCTCAGATTCTTTGTAGTCACACTCCTTCCAGGGTTTGCCACTTTGAACAGGACAGTTGCCCTCCTTCACTTCATACTTGACAGAATAAAATACGTACTCTTCTTCCTGGAAAAAAAAAAGCAATCAAAGATACATAGGGTTCATTCAATATACAACAGCAGACCATTGGAAAGGGATCTGGTGCAATTATGAATATTTGATATTGATTTAATTCAACAAGAGTAAAACATTTACTAAAATACTGAAATTTATAAATAGTTGGAAGATTGTTCATAATATATTTATAAACATGTATTTTCAAGTAACAAAGTAGTATACAAAGTATTAGCCTATTTTTGTAAAAACCAATTACATGCACATATATGATTTTAAAGCCTGAGAAGTTATGAGCAAAGCTGTTAACATGTTGTGTCACAGTGGTGGATATAAGGTTATCTTTTTCTCTCTTCTTTAAACAAGCATCCCTAATTTGTCTGAGTATTTATTTGAAAACAAATATATATTACTTTTACAATTAGAAAGCAAACCAACAAACAAGAGTAGTTTCTTTTTTCACTTTTTGAAAAAAAAAGTTAACAGGTATCTCTGGATGATGAGACTAGTTATGGGTAATTTTAATATTTTTATTTTTTTTCCTATCATGTCATAAAATAATAAATAAAACTTTAAATCCCAAAGGTTCTGAGTGAGGTGAGCTTTTAGATGTAAAATGCTGGCATGTTGGAGCAGCAAGAGACCTGAGAGGTGATGTTGCCTTTTCCCTCACTTTACAGGTTAGAGAAAGGAGGCCCAAGGACTGAGGGCAGAGCTTAGGCAGCCTCCCACCTTGGAAAGGCAAAGTCAACCCAGACCTGGGTCTCCTGAGTCCAGGACAGTGCTCTCTCAGAGCCTACACTCCTCAGAGTATTTGCATCTGGGAGAAGATGGGATCAAACACGACAGTTTTGAGGTTCATTTCAGGTCTCAGATTTTGATAAAGTGGTAGGTGATAGTGATTCTGTGGACATTTTAGAAAATTAAACAAAACAAAAGCAAACCAACAACAACCCATTTGCCACAGATGTCAGCCAATGATGACAACAACATTGTTGAGGGCACCAGGACTTGCATGACTACATTAGTTTGTAAAATGGAATGGCGCAATGTTACTTTCAGAATAAATAAATAAATAAATAAATAAATAAATAAATAAATAAAAAGACCATTGTGTGTGTGTGTGTGTGTGTGTGTGTGTGTGTGTGTGTGTGTTTTTCTTTTTTTAATATCATCATGTCAAATGGATGGATTTTTCTTCTACCAAAGTAAACTATCACAGAGACATAATAAAATTAATTTTAACCAACTATTGAAAGTTTATATATATATTTTAAGTGCTTTCCTCTCAAAATAGTTTGTTTTCTCTTGCATGTCACAAGACTTCTAGTTTCTAAGCAGGGTATGTAATAAACAAAAATATACCCCCTGTGTCCCATCTTTGTCTTCACTAATCAAGAAATCCTTCTGGAATATTGAGCACGTGATTAAACATGTATCTAACTATTGAATATACAAGTTAATACATACTTTGTATGGCAGAATAACCAAGTATTCCCCAAAAGAAAGATGCTAATTTCATAAATATGGAAGGGTCTAAGAGGATCATATGTGAACAAACAAAAATCTCTTATTCCAGGTTTTTTAGGTTAAAGTTGGATAGCATACTGGCAATTGAAGAAAGCTGAAACTATAAATAGATCCAAATTAAGAATTTATAAATTTCTTTAGAAAACAGAATCAGAATTTTTGTTTTAAAAATGACACTGTGGAATGGCTTTGCTTCCATATTTATCTAATATTGTAACAGTAAAACAGACACAAGAACGTTGATGACAGTTCAACAATGCTGGATACAGGACTTTTACATGTGCACTTTTGTTTAAAAGTCCCACATGTTTATTGAGTAAGGCTAGACAGCAAGTCATATAATCCTATTTGATGCTTTTTCTACAGTGTCCAAGATCATTATAAAAATACATCCAAAGATGGGACCCTGATTTTCAAGAAAAAGACCATAAAGAAGAAAATCAAGGTAGTTATTTAGTCCCCCTAGTTAATTGTTTGAACTGGAACAACAAAAGGTGAAAAACACAGACTTCAATGAATTAAAAGAGTTGGAAAAAGTTGGTGGAGAGAAACATGATATATGAGTAAGGTCATTGGGCTCAGGATGTCAATGATAGTGCAAAAAAGAGCATCTATGGGACCAAGTACCCTGTGGTGTCACTCCCTCCATGACTTTAGGATATCTGTATGTGATAATAAATAGATCAGATATACAATAAGGCATTGTGTCAAATATGCATTCATCCTATAGAATGAACCACCATAGAGATACATGATACCATACACATTCTTTAAGTGTTCTTAAGCTCTGTCTGATTTGCATGTTTTCAAAGCCACCCAGCCATACTCTTCCAGGGGATGTCCTTGGAGAGAAGAGTGGTCTTCTGAGCCCATTTTGCTTAACCTTTCAATTATCAAGAGATGATGATTGACTTTAAGGAGAAATAAAGCTAAGGTTGTTTGATTTTGATTTTTCCCCCTTTCCGTTGCATTATCCTTAATCTTTTAATATAAATAAGAACAAAAAAATTACAACTAAACCCTCTCTCCCCCACCCCACCTAATAGTTTGGTGCATCCAGTTGTATATCTTGGAAGAACACATCCTGTCAGGATTTATCTTCAACCTGAGTGTATCCATAAATGATAAGGTATATTCAAAACCAACTAGAAAATTGCTTTACCCTTGATTTATTCAATCATCAGGACTTTATGGTAGATATTTTATTTAACACT